AAGGAGCGAACAGAGGCCCGGCTGCGTATTGCTCATTCACTGAAGTCAACCAATTAGCACGCTTATCAAGAAGGCTAATGGAGGTCGTGTTCAAGCCGCGGAACGCTTCTTGACTTCTGCGCTGGTAGCGCATCAAGAGACGTTTGAATTGCGCCCGTGTGCAACGGGTGTTCGCAACGTGCGCGTGCATGCACACGTTCGCGCCGGGTGTGTACGACATCGATGATTTTTCATTTTTCTTTCTTTTTTCTGTTTCCTCCTCCCTTCTTTTTTTGAATTAGTCGAATGTAACATTTACAGCGTCACGATCCAACGAGCACGGTCATTATTTCGATGTTGCTTGGATCCTCGACGGTTACGGTGAAATACTTGTTACGTGATTTGTTGAGTAGGGTCAAGTGGGACGCGGGTGGGGGAAACGAGCTGTAGGGTGCGCTGCGAGTCGATCGCCATTGTAGATTTTGTTGTTGGGACTGTACAATACGTGTCTTAGCATTTTTTCAGTGAACAGATGATTTTTGTGAATGTTTGTTTAGTGGATAGGAAACTGGGAACTGTTTTTATCATCAATTTCAGTCTTTGTCAATTTGTAGAGTAACTACTCCCTTAAAGCTTTTGATGATTTTTAAACACTTTCTCCTGTTATCAAATTAGAAATTTTAGATTCCATTTGAAGATTGAAGAATCTATGCTATAGTAGTATCAATGTTAATTAATGCTGATTTTGACACTCCTAAGACAATTTAACAAGATTACTCCTTTCAATTCTTTTCGTTCGCATTTGCATAAATAATTCTTACATGGTCTCATGTATTCAATTATTAATTCGTTCTCTTTTAAACATTACTAACAATAGTTTCTAATGACTTCGGCGATATCATGAACTTTCTCTTGCGCCTTTTATTTTCTAACTCGAAAATCACGGAATGAATTCAGATGAAAGGTCAGAAATAATGTACGGCCATTACAGCGTTAACAGGCGATACTGAGACGAGGATAATGGATCGTAATGTTTCTAAGCTCGTTGCAATTTTCCGTGGATCTTATCTAAATTCATCTGCGCGAGCGCATCACGCTGTTGCGCGCGTAGCCTTCTAATACCCCGTGGCGTCGTTCTCGATGTCTAGATGATGCCTAAGGCAGGGTTCACCCTCGAAATTCCTTTCCGCGTAGAGAAGAGCGTTCCTCGAGACTTCGCATTCTTTCCTGGATACTCAACTTTATACCCAGAAGCCCGGCTTCTCGTGGATTTTTTAACGGCCCCCAAAGGGATGAGACAAAAGGATGCGCAGTGATGGCTCCGGGCGGAATAGACGAGCAAATAAATAGTATTCACTGTTGTTCTTCACTCGCGCGAGCGGACCTTCATTTTTGCAATGTTCACTGTTCTGTGCATGTACAACATAATCGTGTATTGTGAAGGATTTCATGCTTGAAATGAATTGCAACACGATTTAACGGGTTTGTTTGTGGTATCTGTTACGCAAACGAATGGAGGATACGCGTAAAAGAGGGGGATAGTCGAAAACGGCCACTTTCGGTATCGCTTGGTAAAGAGAAATTCGTGCAGAATAATAATTGCTGGGTTTTGATTATTGAAAGTGTGCTGTAAGGAACTGAATATGTTAGAAGCATTCGTGTTGAATGTGGTGGCAAAGTCGTGGGAAATCATTTCAGTTATTCGTGATTTCGATGATTTTCAAGACTTTATGTACAATATTTTTGGAGCTGTGATAATGTGTAGAGGAAAATTAGTTGGATAATTGGTTTCGATAAGTTTTTACCGTTCTTTGGACAATTTATTAATATTCTTTGTGCTCGCTGTGGCGATAAAGTGAAATATTCCATAAATTACAATATAAAAAGCTTAACGACAAATTATAATCCATACACACGAAATTAAGAATGTATTTTTATTTTCATGGCCTGGTGATGGCAAAATATCCGCTATAAATATACAAACGCACATGAACCCGAACATATTCGATAGAAAAATAATGAAAATTTGAACAATTCTGTGGTGCAGCACCATACAAACAATGAGCGAAATTTTTTCCCAGAATTCTCTCGGACTTAATAAAAAGAAATTTTTAACGTCAAATTACCGTACTGCGTCAAATATTCCAAACATCACGCAACCGATTGCGTTGTTTTTCTGCAAAAATGTTTTGCACAATGCTCTGAAATCGCGTTCGGATAATTATTTTTAATGCTCTTTTGCGGTATGAATTATATAACATTATTCGTAGAGTGTTTACCGTTTACCGTCGATATTTCGAAAATTTGATACTTGCATAAACGATTCTTATATTTTCAGTAACCTCTTCCATATACAAAAAAATGCAACATACTAAAAATGATGAAAAAATGCTTTTTTTCTCGGTCCAAAATATTATCATTTACTGAATTTTATTTGACTGGAACTTTTCATTTCTTTGGCTTGTTTTCTTCATATTTTAATATATGTTGATTTTTACTATTCATTTCTTCAGTTTTTAATGTTATTTTTATTTACTATTCATTTCTTCGGTTTTTAATGTATTTCAATTTTCACTACTCGTGTTTTCTTTTTTTGATCTATTTTAATTCGCTTTTCGTTGCACGTTCCACTGATATGTTATTCGTTACTTAATAAATTAGTTCATGACGGTTAAAAAAGTATAAGGTCCTGACAGCTTTTAAGTGCGGACGATATCCAGAAAATGCGAATGATACTCCTGTCTATTTTTAATTTCGTGACACGCACTTGCCTCTCGCCTGTTACTCGATTTACGAGCTTGAAAATTATTTTGTGTTCCACTTGTTCCATGGTTCGAGATTTCCTACCATTTCCATCTCATAATTGTGAAAGAATAAATGGCCACACGTTTAATCCGCATTCGTTTTCTGTGTGGATTTAATACTTCCAAGTAAATAATTTTTCTTTAATATATAAACTTTTATTTTAAATAAATAAATGTGATAATTATTACGAAAGTAATAGATTATATCACAAATATTTGTCTTTTATTTCTTTAACAACATGCTATGTACAAATGAACAATATCATTTCTCAATAGTTTAACAAATACAACACAGAATATTGCAGAACATAAATCAACCATTATAATTTATCGAAACTTTCATTGCATAATAAGTTTCATAAGTATACCTATTACGTAACGAAATTTATAACTATAAATTAAGACTTATCTGCAGCAGAAAAAATAAAAGTTCTAACAAGAATGGAAATTTAGAATTAAAATTTAAAATTCAAACTCCACAATTCTAAAGAATGTTTTCTCCAGTAAGGAAGAAACTTATTTTGTATTTGTAACGACAAAGAAAATCTGTCTAACTTTATATTTACCTATCCAATCTTTATTTCTGTATTGAAAACAAATGGGAAATTATAACAGGGCATTAATAAAAATGAAACTGTAATGTAAATTCAATCTAATACAAATTATGAAATGTTACTAAATCCAACATGATGCGAACATAAATATTTAAAAATTCTTATTGTAAATTTTCCACAAATTAGAACTAACTTATATTCTAAATATTCGAATAATGCGATCGATTTCTGCGATTCAGTATTCGCGACAATGGAGACTTGCCCGTACATACAGGGTGGCTCACGGTAACACGTCCCCGTTAATTGCTCGCGATGGCGCGGTGTTCCGCGAGCCCGAAACTGCCGACGATTGTAGCTGTTGGTTACGTAACACTCACGCTCGATATCGAAAACCGTTCGCCGGTTGCGCTCGCAACACGCGGCTCGTTTGCTCGCGAACAAGCTCGTCTCCACGCTTTCCGAAGATGCTCGCGAGCGTAACCGCGAGTCGCTCGATTATGAGCCGGTGATTTCACCGCAGCGCGGCGCGTCGCGGCGCAGCGGCGGCCGTGTGAAAGTCAGGACGTCCGGTCCTTTCCAGCCTTAACGCAAGAAATGCTCCGGCTGCGTTACTACGTTGTTATTACGCCGCGATACGCCACCGTCCCGCCTGCAATCCGCGATTTGCCCGCGTTTGTCTGTTAAACGCGAAACGAGCTATCGGCCCCGTTCGCCGAGTTTTGCGTAATGCGTCGCGTAACGACCGATAGCGATTTTCGCGTGCATATCTAGGGCTCATTTTGGTCGAACGACTTTAATTAACCTTTTCCTTTTTCGGTTGGCTAAAGGAATTAATAAATGGTTACCGTAATTTTATTTCGTAAGAATAGAAATTTTAAGAGTTATAGTAATTGTATTTTTAATGTACCTACCTCGATTACACGTATTATTTTTGGTAATCTAGATTGTTTAGTTTAAGTACTCCAATGTGAACATAATTTTCTATTATACAAATTGCCATGGGAAAACATAATAATTATCTGTAATTGTCCCCAATGGACACGTAGCTTAACATTCAAGTGTAACTTGTATATGTGAAGGACCTGCAAACTTTGCGATTTATCTGCTGTATTATTAAAAAAGACGATCGCTGATTGGGCAGAATGTGAACGCACTGCAAACTGACGGCTGCAAATTTTTATACAATCTTGATAAAAAAAAGTAATGCAACAATATTTCATGTCTACTTTTACCGTTGAATGTGAATAATGATCAATGAGGAAGAACATATGTCCGAATACTTCTGTGAGAACTACATTTTATCAAGGTTTCATCGAAACCGGTGGTTGTCAGCTTGCAATAAGGCATTTATGTATTTATCTGCTCTTCCTGAGCCTTGCGAAACGTGACTGATGTTCAGACCGAAGTAAATTGCGGTCGAACAAGATGTCACATCTTCGAGAGCCTCGGACATGTTACAATTATCATCGGATCTTGCTAAACAGGGTAATGCAGCTTGTCACACGATATACCGTAATGTTTGCCGGTCCTTTCGTTTTCGAGCGGGCATGCAGCATGTGTCCTTCCCGAAATGATTCTTAGCGAATAGAAATCGACGACCTCACGATTTACTCCGAAACGTTCATGGTTTTCTACATGTGTGATCTCACTGTCTGCATTATAGGTGTACCCACGTCGCCGTCATCCTGACCTGCCCGAGAAATCCTCATGAAAGACTGGGAACTCAGTACTCAGAATAGCATCGGTATTGTAGCCATTTCGTTTTTATTTTTTC